CAAAGCACGCAAACATTTCAAGTCACTGCACCAGTTCTGGCGCAACACCGATCTCACACTGAAGTGGAAGTTACGCATTTACAATGCTCTTTTTACTCCGCTCGTGACATACGGGCTGGAATGAGTAGCGCTCACAAAAAAGGACTCCGACAGACTCGAAGCTTTCCACTCGCAGAGCCTTTGCAACATCCTCCATTTCAAAAGCTCTTACTACACGGAGGTGCTCAACCCCACAGCACGCACCTTTACCAACCAAGAGGTGAGAGCACTTACCTCACAGCCACCCCTCACACACCACATTCACACAGCACAGCTGAAGCTTTTCGGGCACATTCTTGATCCCATCCGAACAGTACAGAACGGAACTGCTGTTTTACTAGGTCTTTTCAGTACAGAGGTGGTAAGGTGCAGGCCAAAGGCGAGACAGGCGGCGAGTCCACTGGACCGAACAGTGCACTAAGCTTCTTTGGCGTTGGCGTTTACATTCCACAAGACCCCCTGCCACTCACAGCCCTACCTTCCCATACTCTTATCTACAAGCTCACAAAACTGCTGTAGACCGCCAATTTGGGAGTACACTGGTGAGGTTGCCAACGTGCAAGACACTCGAAGAAGCACACTCTTACACAGTCTTCTCACAGCCTTGAGTCTACTGCGGAGTCGTTGCGGAGAGAGTTGCACAGGGTCGCCCAAAAAAAAGGCTCGGATCTTCAGAACGCTGGTAAGGTTGAGGGTTAACATGGTGCACCCTGGAAGCATTTCATATCCCATGTCGTGAGCTACTCTGAACCCTAGCCCTAAACCCGTAACTACCATAACTTGTTGGGCTTCTGGGGTTCAAGGCGACTTGCATTCAGGCACCTTGGGGTCGGTTTAGGCATTCCGAACTTTGCTGAGGCTAACGGTTCAGGTCCCAACCTAAGGCTTTCCGATATTCTGAGTTTTATGATTTGAGTTTTAGGAATAATGCATAACAACATCTACTGCATGTTCCAAAGGGTTACTCGTGAGTTTCTTTATACACATGCACGCTGCGGATCTGCGACCGTAGAAGATTTTGAACCAAGTCAGGATCCATCTTGGGGTCCGGATCGGGGCGGGGGGAGGGCAGGATGGTCGACAAATTCTTGATGTGTAGAGTGGGGATGTTCGAAGTAGCTCGTGTGCTGTGTGTTCTTCCATCCTTTTCCCGAAAGCGTGTTACAAAGCTTTTTCTGTGAAGGTGGTTGGATGGCATGGCATGGTTTTGATGTGATGATGATGTTGATGCGAATTTGTCTCTGGATTTGTCGCGAGGATGCGAAGCGTGAGGTCGCATGTTGTTGTTTCTTCGTCGTGAGGTTGGTTTATTCTCAGGGCTTTGGAGGCAGGTTAGGGGGAGAACAGGCGCTGCGCGTGCGTTGTCTTCAGGGTTTGTGCTCAGCTTGCATTACATGAAGGGAGCATGTTGGCTGTGCTCTGGAATCCCTTCTGAATCCCACCAGCCATGGAGGAAGCATCTTGGTCATTCGAAGTCACTCTGCGTGAGTGTTGCTGGAGCGATTCAGCGCGGTTATGCCGCTGGATCGTGCCTACATGGTGGAAACCATTTTAAAGCCATGCTCCCGAATCCCGCCTGTCATTGGGAAGCAGTTCGATCGTGTGAGCATGTAGTGCCGCGACGATTGGCGTGAGGGATTAGGAAAACATATTCCGTGTGACTGTCGCCATGTCCGCATCATGTACCAATCCAGAACCAGAAGTCGTTTCAGAAGTCGTCTGGCCCAGTGCATGTCCATGTAGTTGTTCCCCACCCTCGGTGTCGGGTTGTTTTTGAACTCAGTTACTTTCTGGTCTGCTGCTCGCCGGGTCTCCGGCAGCCAACGCCGGAGAATCCCCTTAGAATCCCTAAGCTGAGAATCTCTGGAGTCCCGGAGAATCTCCTGAGAATCCGCGAGGTGCCCAATCCAAGAGCATTCCTGAGAATCCTTGAAGGGCCCGCACAAGCTCACCCAGAATATGGTATAGTATGCAGTCCTAGGCAATTGCTGTTGTTACTCACGAATGCACTGGTATAGCAGACCACGGCATATGATGAGTGTCTGTACCACTCCTCGATGGTCTTGCACGGTGATATCAGGGTTTCAGAAAATGTCGTTTTCCTCCCAAGTCTCCGCTAATTGTGTAAGCACCGAAGGGGCACGTCTCAACGATTCAGCTCACACCACAAGCAGTGTAGGTTTGTGCAATAATGCCCTTAAGGATCTAGGCTGCTACGACATTCATGTTTAGGACTTTGGGGCTGAGCATCCAAGGCAAAGCTTTGGAGCCTATGCCTTTCAGCCAGGTCCTTCGGAACCCTCACCTGTGTGGTTGCGATCTACATGACCAGTCACAGAATGACTCATCAATGCGGATGGTAAAAGTAGGAGAAACTCGGAACCGGGGAGCCCGAAAGTTGTGCCAAAGTAAGATGGCGGTCGCTGTATCATCTGGGATCTCTCCGTCTATGTACTCCCCAAACATCTCAAAACCTTCTGCATTGTGATGTCCAGTCACTTACACAGTACACCTCCAGAAATGTAATTGGAGGTAGAGCCTTTTTGTGTTGTGCATCTCCACCCTCAGCAATGGATGTGAAGGGTACAGTTCGGGGGCGGGGCAGGACGGCCCGCAAGCTCTTGATCTGTAGGATGGCGATGTTTGAAGAAAAGATTTATTTTGCCCGGTGTGGTACACCAATGTTTGAAGTCGGCGAAAGAATCGTCCTTGGCAAAAGAATCATCCTGGTAAATGCTGCAGCTTCTGCAAGATCGATCCAGGCAAAAACCAAAAACATCCCTGTGAGTTGCAGTCGCGTATGATCCAGGCACCAAAGCCATCAAAAGCAACCAGCAGCAAATCAACTGAAAAGCAGACCTGGTCCCGAGTCCCTGGTTCCGTTGTGAAGCTTAAGTTCAATTCGGTACGAGCTTGTCTTGTGACCATGAGAGCTCTCGACTCAGGTAATGCTGTTGCATGATCGAACTTTGGAGTTTCATTCCCAGTATGGGCGCCATCACCGCCTGAGGGTTCCCAAATGTCTGGGTCTGAGACCGTTGTGTTCGACTCAGTTGCGCTGCAAGTCTGATGGGCTGGGCTCTTCATCCTGGCCAGGTGGTCGCAGCATCACTTACGACAGCGAGTCGTGCACCCTGTTTGTGGGTGGGTCTTCGCAAGAGGTCTACAGGCGCGGAAAGAATCAACAAAACCCGCTTTCAAGTGCTGGTTGAGAGCAGTTGCGGCCCTCAGGTTGGACTTGGAAGCAGGAACGTTCCTCACGCCAATCGAAATGCAGAAGATGAGTGAAGTCAACGAAGTGGTTACGACCCTTTGCCCGCAGAGTCACAGGCTGTTCGACTAATCACTTGGTCGCACTTGTTCCTGTTACTGGAACACCCATGCAGAATACTTTGGCATACTCACGGCTCTTTCCTGCATGAATCTTCCTACGAACATTCGAGAACCTTGAGCTAGAACAAGCTTATCTTCCCTCGTAGAAAGAACGCATGATGCAAAGGTTGGCACCCACAGTGCACGCATGAAAGTCGTTGTCAGAAAGAATTCTGCCCCATTCTCAACGATCTCGTCGCTGTACTGTTGTTGAGTCACTCGTCGGGTGGATCAAGCATTGGTCGAGAGGGATGTGTTTACTCCATGCTACGAGTCTTGCAGACGATGTGCCTTCTCAAAAGACTTGTAGCCCTCGCACGATTGTGCAAGGCATCCACGGCTACCTATCGTGAGTTGCTGCGGTGATGGCGCCGTCGTCGAATCGTGGGATTTGCGGGATCAAACTTCTCCTCTTCAGACACTGAAGGTTCCTTGTGCCTTTCAGTGCTGTGACGTAGCCACGGCTGTCAGAGTGTATCCAGAACCTGTTCTAGGTTGGTAGCAACCTAGATACTTTTGCCAGCAGCCCTACATCAGAGCTTTGATCAGGATTTTACACTTAAGTTCAACTGAAGCCTTCCAGTTAGCAGTATTTCAGTGTCTAGTGTCTTCGGCTTCAGGTTTTCCTTGCCCAGCCACCGAGCTCCGATCCTCAACTCTCGGGACTAGCCATGTGGCCACTTCCCGGTGACTTGCTCATTGGGTGTCGTTGGCTTTCACGGTTTTGGTGATCTCCTCGCCTGGCTGCAGCTTCTCCTTTGAGAATCTCCTCAATGACTGGTTGTGCGTTCGGTTTCTTGTATGTGTGTATCTCTTCTGGCTGGCTTGTCAACCATACTGCAAAAAGAGTTACACACTTGCTGCTGCAGCGAGGTTGATGATGCTTCAACATCCGCAAGTGTTCAGGCCATGGCACATTCAGATCTCGCGCCTGGGTTGACCATGGTGGAGACCGGCTTTGTCTCGAGGTGACCCGATGTGCCTATTCCGGGAACGGCATGTTCTTTGCCGCAGGCACCTCCGAGGCCGGACTCAGAGAAAGAGGGAGGATCAAGACTGCAAATTGCGGCTCGTTCCCTACTTGGTGTCTGTCCCTGCAGTGATGTTGGATTACGATCTGCCCCGGTAGCCTTCGACGGCAACGCAGGCAGAGTGTGGAACTTGTGAAGTTGGTGCACATCTGGTCCTGACTCGTCCCTCATGCCCTGAAGCAGAAGGGCCGGGTCGCTCCCCTACTTCCAGCCCTAGCGAAAGACAAAGAGAGGAGGAGAGGGAGGAAAGAGAGAGAGAGTTGCAGGTCGTCCTCCTGAGTCCTACGTGGTACTTTCCCGCAAATCTCAAATTTGTTCTAGGCCATTGAGCCGGATCTGAAGGCAACACCCAACCAGCCAGCCACAGAATCTGCAGCCGTCGGGAAAGTACGATGCTGCTCCTTCCTCATCCAGTGCACATCACCTGGATTTATGACGTTCGTTGCATTCGCTGCCGCCGTGTGCCGAAGTTGCCTGTGCTTCTATACGGTAGCGGATCAGTATGGCTGTCTAGCCTTGTACACCTCGTGTTCAGGCTGCAGCAGGTTTGGGCTTGTATGGTTGGTTCTCCAACAGCGTGTGCTAAACTGCTCTCAACTCCGAGATCTGCATTGTTCCAGCAGCAATGCCCTCCTTTTTTTCTGACAGTGACAGGGCATCGTTCGTGTCTACGACCTTCGAAGCAGCCGTCCGTTGGCCCAGCGCGACCACATGCGACTTGTCACTCAAAGCAAGGAGCATGTCTTGCGAGGGATGGGCTGTGACTAGGCCTGGAAGCGACTGAGGAATGATTATGCGATAACTTCGCTCTGTTTTCACGCTGGGCAGAGAGAGTCCGATCTTCTGGTTGCGTCCTCCGACAAGAAATCCATCAAGGCAGGAAGCCGACCAGTAGCTCCGTCAAAGACGAACAGAGTCTCGTGCTCTGGTGCTAGTTACACCCGGAGACCAGGTCTGGGAGGCAACGACAGGATCGATGAAGGCATCCGTCGAATCGCAGAGTGCTCCCCGCCTGCATTCTCTGCAGGATGATGGATACCGGTTGCTTTCGAGCACGCAAGCCTTAGCCGGCGAGGTTGTCAACGATGTTAGCTTCTATCCCAATTCGGGCTTGATGCTCGTGGCGAACGACCATCAGCGCCATGATGCAACCAGTCGTTTGTAAGTGAGACTTGCGCATTGTGATCTGTTCTTGAACATTGACCCATCCAAGCCGAGGAGAATTGGGACGCTTGGCTGTGTATAGATATGTCGATATCTGCTCTATCTATCTATCTATCTATCTATCTAACTGCCTATGTAATTTTAACGCTACGCCGCCCGCCTCGGCTGTGTAGCGGCAGGGCGAGGGGGCAGTCGATGTTTTTTTATGCTAGGGCGGCCTGTCAAACCCCAACCTTTACACGGTTGTTGATACGAAGTGCGAGGAGAATGGGTAGGGGAGGGGGGGGAGGGCGGGGAGGGGGGGGGGGAGGGGGGGGGTGAGCCGATACACCCACAAGGAAATGCTCCTTGTTAGGAGGTGTATGACCAGTTTATTCCCTAAGGATCAAAGGGCAGCGCCCTGCACACGGACAGTAGTTGTTTTGTCTTGCTACGCAAGGAGAGCTTGTCTGGTCTCAATATGGTAAAACCACTGTGAGCCAATGGGCAGCGGAATGTATATGTATGAGCATGCAGCCATTGCTGTAGGTACCTGTTAGAGCTACCCCTTTAGAGGTTTACGCAAACAAACAGACACTAAGTTTCTTTTACCGGAAGCATGGCCGCACATTCACACATATACTATTATGCCCACTGTCACAGTTGCGGAGTTTGGACTCATGATAAAAACAGCATATTGGTTATGCTAGGTATAGCACTGAAGTACACTGTTGAAGTCACTCTTGAAATCACTCCTTTTGAACTCTTTCATGCACATTGGTCAGAGAGATCGTCTGTACAGGCTCAGGTCTGGTAATGTTCTTCTATCGAATTATGCAGCCCTTCACTGTGCTCTTGTTAGAGCTTTGTGAGTCACTGTTGTGAAACTCTGAGATTTTCCTTATCTCAGATTTGGATCCAGGTTTGGATCATAGGCTCGAGCATAGACGTTCGGATGTGGTTCATCCGGGTCTGAGTGATCTTCTTCGGAACTTGAAAAGATTCCGAGTAATCCCCTCCCCCTTTTATTAAAGGACCCCCTAATTATACAAACACTTTTCCCCCGATCCACCCGGAAGTAGCACCGCCCTTTAAACCCTAATTTGAATTAGGGGGAAGGTTTAGGGTCTATAAGATTGAGGGTTTAAGGGGAAGAATTATAATTGCATGAGTCAGCAACTGCTCAATTGAGCCGCATGAAAAGCTTTATTAGCCAAGCCTTTATTGAAGCCTATTTTTTTAATGCGTATTTACGGATTTCGTGTGTATTTGCACGGATTTGTGTGTTTGATTGCACGGATTTAGTGTGTATTTGCACGGATTCAGTGTGTATTTGCACGGATTTAGTATGTATTTGCACGGATTCACGGATTTAGATGTATTTGCACGGATTCCGTGTGTATTTGCACGGATTTGGTGTGTATTTGCACTCACGTCCTGTGTAGTTGCACGAATTTAGTGTGTATTTGCATGGATTTGCACGGATCGTGAGTATTTGCACGCAGTATTCGGTGTCTAATTACAGGGATGTAGTGTGTGTATTTGCACAGATTCCGTGTGTATTTGCACGCATTTACTGTGTGCCTGGTGTGTAGTTAGAGGGATTTAGTGTGTGTGTCTTTACACGGATTTAGTGTGTGTTTGCATGGATTCGGCGTGTATTCCCACGGATTCAGTGTGTATTTGCATGGATTTGGTGTGTATTTGCACGCATTTCGTGTGTATTAGCACGAACTTGGTGTGCATGTGCACGAACTTCGTATGTCTTTGCACGGTTTAATGTGCATTTGCACGGATTTGGTGTGATTTGCAACCCTTATAATAGCGTTTCTTAAGTCTCCAGAGAGCCCAGAGCTTCAGGTCACCCCAAAATCTCAATTCCGGGTGGGGAAAGGGCCCAAATGACACCCCCGGGGGTTGAGCCCGCAGCCTTCGCGAGGAGGGCTTTGGAGGCAGAAGTTTACCCATTAGGCCATGGCCAGATAGTTCTCGGGGCTGGCGGCTGCCTCCATAGGGGATTTGGGCACGGTCGCAGGCCCAATTCTGGCGGTGTCCCCGTGGGCCCTTTCCCCATCCAGAATCGAATTTTGAAATGACCAAAAACCGCCAAGAGCACAACCAAACCCGCCGAAAACCGCGCAAACCCACCAAAACCCTCCCCGGTGCAAGTTCCCAACATCAACAGCAGGTTGCAGAGGTTGAACCAGCAGGTTGCAGAGGTTGAACCAGCAGGTTGCAGAGGTGGAACCAGCAGGTTGCAGAGGTTGAACCAGCAGGTTGCAGAGGTCGAAGCTGCAGGTTGCAGAGGTTGAAGCAACAGGTTGCAGAGGTTGAACCAGCAGGTTGCAGAGAGGTTGAACCAGCAGGTTGCAGAGGTTGAACCAGCAGGTTGCAGAGGTTGAACCAGCAGGTTGCAGAGGTTGAAGCAGCAGGTTGCAGAGGTTGAAGCAGCAGGTTGCACAGGTTGAACCAGCAGGTTGCACAGGTTGAACCAGAAGGTTGCAGAGGTTGAAGCAGCAGGTTGCAGAGGTTGAAGCAGCAGGTTGCAGAGGTTGAAGCAGTAGGTTGCACAGGTTGAACCAGCAGGTTGCACAGGTTGAAGCAGCAGGTTGCAGAGGTTGAACCAGCAGGTTGCAGAGGTTGAACCTGCAGGTTGCAGAGGTTGAACCAGCAGGTTGCAGAGGTTGAAGCAGCAGGTTGCAGAGGTTGAGCCAGCAGGTTGCAGAGGTTGAACCAGCAGGTTGCAGAGGTTGAAGCAGCAGGTTGTAGAGGTTGAAGCAGCAGGTTGCAGAGGTTGAACCACAGCAGGTTGCACAGGTTGAACCAGCAGGTTGCAGAGGTTGAACCAGCAGGTTGCAGAGGCAGAGGTTGAAGCAGCAGGTTGCACAGGTTGAACCTGCAGGTTGCAGAGGTTGAACCTGCAGGTTGCAGATGTTGAAGCAGCAGGTTGCAGAGGTTGAACCTGCAGGTTGCAGAGGTTGAACCAGCAGGTTGCACAGGTTGAACCAGCAGGTTGCAGAGGTTGAACCAGCAGGTTGCAGCGGTTGAACCCAGCAGGTTGCAGAGGTTGAAGCAGCAGGTTGCAGAGGTTGAACCAGCAGGTTGCAGAGGTTTGGTGGGTTTGCGCGGTTTTGGGCGGGTGTGGTTGTGCTCTCTTGGCGCTTTTGGTCATTTCAACATTTCGATTCTGGATGGGGAAAGGGCCCAAAATGACACCGCAAGAATTGGGCCTGCGACCTCTCCCAAAACTACTATCAAGGTGCGCAACCTTTCGCAAAACTATCTGGCAATGGCCTAATGGGTAAGTGTCCGGCTCTAATGCCTTCTTGGCAAAATTCGTGGGCTCAATCCCCGGGGGCGTCATTTAGGCCCTTTCCCCACCCGGAATCGAGATTTTGGGGTGGCCTGAACTTTGGGCTGTCCGGGGACTCTCTAGAGCGGACTGGGTGCACATCCGGCTTTCGTGGGGCAGGTTGCAGAGGTTGAACCAGCAGGTTGCAGAGGTTGAACCAGCAGGTTGCAGAGGTTGAAGCAGCAGGTTGCAGAGGTTGAAGCAGCAGGTTGCACAGGTTGAACCAGCAGGTTGCACAGGTTGAACAAGCAGGTTGCAGAGGTTGAAGCAGCAGGTTGCAGAGGTTGAAGCAGCAGGTTGCAGAGGTTGAACCACAGCAGGTTGCACAGGTTGAAACAGCAGGTTGCAGAGGTTGAACCAGCAGGTTGCAGAGGCAGAGGTTGAAGCAGCAGGTTGCACAGGTTGAACCTGCAGATTGCAGAGGTTGAACCTGCAGGTTGCAGAGGTTGAAGCAGCAGGTTGCAGAGGTTGAACATGCAGGTTGCAGGGTTGAACCAGCAGGTTGCAGAGGTTGAACCACAGCAAGTTGCAGAGGTTTAACCAGCAGGTTGCAGAGGTTGAACCAGCAATTTGCAGAGGTTGAACCAGCAGGTTGAACCTGCAGGTTGCAGAGGTTGAAGCAGCAGATTGCAGAGGTTGAACCAGCAGGTTGCAGAGGTTGAAGCTGCAGGTTGCAGAGGTTGAAACTGCAGGTTGCAGAGGTTGAAGCAGCAGGTTGCAGAGGTTGAAGTTGCACAGGTTGAAGCAGCATGAAGCAGCAGGTTGCAGAGGTTGAACCAGCAGGTTGCACAGGTTGAACCAGCAGGTTGCACAGGTTGAACCTGCAGGTTGCAGAGGTTGAAGCAGCAGGTTGCAGAGGTTGAAGCTGCAGGTTGCAGAGGTTGAAGCTGCAGGTTGCAGAGGTTGAAGCAGCAGGTTGCAGAGGTTGAACCAGCAGGTTGCACAGGTTGAACCAGCAGGTTGCAGAGGTTGATCCACAGCAAGTTGCAGAGGTTTAACCAGCAGGTTGCAGAGGTTGAACCAGCAATTTGCAGAGGTTGAACCAGCAGGTTGAACCTGCAGGTTGCAGAGGCTGAAGCAGCAGGTTGCAGAGGTTGAACCAGCAGGTTGCACAGGTTGAACCAGCAGGTTGCGCAGGTTGAACCAGCAGGTTGCAGAGGTTGAACCAGCAGGTTGCAGAGGTTGAAGCAGCAGGTTGCAGAGGTTGAACCAGCAGGTTGCAGAGGTTTGGTGGGTTTGCGCGGTTTTCGGCGGGTTTGGTTGTGCTCTCTTGGCGCTTTTGGTCATTTCAACATTTCGATTCTGGATGGGGAAAGGGCCCAAAATGACACCGCAAGAATTGGGCCTGCGACCTCTCCCAAAACTACTACCAAGGTGCGCAACCTTGCCAAAGACTATCTGGCCATGGCCTAATGGTTAAGTGTCTGGCTCTAATACCTTCTTGGCAAAATTCGTGGGCTCAATCCCCGGGGGTGTCATTTAGGCCCTTTCCCCACCCGGAATTGAGATTTTGGGGTGGCCTGAAGCTTTGGGCTGTCCGGGGACTCTCTAGAGCGGACTGGGTGCACATCCGGCTTTCGTGGGGCAGGTTGCAGAGGTTGAACCAGCAGGTTGCAGAGGTTGAAGCAGCAGGTTGCAGAGG